TTTCTCCAAAGTCACTGACTTTCTGTAAACAGCAGATAAACCACAGGTGATGAGCCGCCTCCTTGAACTGCTGTAGTCCCACAGTGCCATTATGAAGGGAGTTACAGAATGTAGATCCAAAGAACTGTGATATTGTTCCAAGTCAAGGTCGAGCATAGTTTGGGGGGCAACATGCAGATCATGGGGTTGCCATTTGTTGGCTGCCTCTTTCCTTCTAGGTAGTAGAGTTTGTGGATTTGGACAGTGCTGTTCAGGAGGAGTTGGTGCAGTTCATTTTGTAGATGTTATACAATGCTGTCACTGTACATCTATGTGGAAGGAGTGAATGTTGAATGTGTTAGTTGGGAGTGCCAAATCAAACAACTGCTTTGTCCTAGACAGTGCTGAGTTTTTTGAGCATTGTTGGAACTGAACTAGGTAACGGGGGAGTATTTTATCACATTCCTGGCAAGTGTTTTGTAGATAGTAACAAGGCTTTGAGGAGTCAAGAGGCAAGTTATTTGCTGCAGAATTCCTAGGTTCTGGCCTACTCTTGTAGCCACATTATTTACATGGTTCATCCAGTTTAGTTTCTGGTCATTGGTACTCCCCAAGATGTTGCTATGTTCTTTTACACATAGCCATATAATTAACATGTTTACTTTTACTTTTGAAATGGTCCAGATACCACCTCCAGATGGAGGTGGGCAATACAATGAAAAGGATAGAGACAGGCAGAATGAGGATGAAAGCATGTTTAATAGATCTGGCTATTAGCACTGAAGACAAAATTAGAACAGGAAAAATAGGTCAATGAATTACACAATGTCCAAGAAACTGTTAAGTGGAGTTTCAGATATATTGAAAAGTATCATTATGTGGTGAACTGACCAGAGTTCTTGAAATTACACAAGATGATAGAAATTCTGAGGAAGAGGATGAAAATAAAGATTCATGTGAAGAAGATATACTGGCCTCAAGGAGTTTTAGTCTTGTGATGAATGTATTAATGTAGACTTTTTTTAAACTATGCAGTATGGGATTGTGCTTGAAGTTTGATAGTATGTGGATTAGTTAAAATATTATTTTAATTCACTAAGCAGTGAGGATCAGTACAAGATAATCAACATAAAAATACTTACACATTGAGTCACTAAAGAGAGTTGTAATTTTTATGTAAATAGTTAGGGTGAGACACTTTTAACTAGGCTTTCTATGAAAAAGGCACAAATGAAACTTAATCTGAAATGTAATAAAATAACTATTTTTTGAAAGCCAGTCAATCTGCAGTTCGCCTAGTCACACATTACTGTATTCACCTAACAAAACCTTATGTTTTTATCATTGTTAGAAAATATCAATGGCTTAAGATAATAAGAATCAGGGAGAAAGAAGCATGTTGCTTTAAGGTTACATAGACAATTTAACTACTTAAATGTTCGAAAATCCTACTAAAAATGCAGACATTGTTGATTAAGTGCAAAAGTCGCCAAAGTCCTAGTGGACCAGTGGGTTACTCTCTCATTAGGGACAGTGGTTTAACCTGAGGGTCACCATACCAGGCGAGCGGTGAGGTTGAGAAGGAGAGTCCCATGAACTGTATCCAAAGCTAATAGAAGAGACTACAGAAAGTTGTGAGAATTGTACAAAAGTATCAGAAGACACCGGCATGTCCAATTATAAACCTTACCTTGACAAATGACATTAATAAGATAGATCTATAGATCTAAAGCTGTTGGACAAACAGAGAAATATTTTTATCTTATATTTTTAGATCTGGCAATTAGATTTAGCCTACCTATAAACAAGTTAGTAACAACAAATCATGAAAAAAAACTGAATGGAAATGGATTTCTGGCACTAGACAAAACTTACCAATGCCATTACAGGCAAGGTTCAACAGCCTGCATCCAACTCTGTTGGCAGTAGTGGAGCAATACTAAAGCCTGGCAGGTGGATAACATTTAAGAAAATGCAGATAACACAATTTGGTTAGCACATATAAGACTTATCATTACTTGTGATGTGTTGCAGATACCTACTGACTTTTTCTAATACTTTATTTTGACCTTAAATGGATTTCAATAGGATGTATGGTTTTGGATGTATTTGATTTTGATTAAAGGGATTCCACTACAATATGACATACTGATTTAGTGTATGACAGTTATTTTAAGTGGCCCCACTTGTCAAGGTTTCCCAGTAAGGGAAGTTTTAAAATGGTGAAAGAGCTTTACCTGTCTGGGAACAAACCTTTTCAAATGAAGTTCCACAGACATTTCTTTGTTCTGTGAAGCATCACTAGATTAGAATCTGAGATAACAAGGTGTAGAGCTGGATGAACACAGCAGGCCAAGCAGCATCAGGGAAGCAGGAAGGCTGATGTTTCAGGCCTAGACTTTCTTCAGATTAGAACCTCCTGAGTTTCAGGAGCACATGCCCCTAGTTACATGTATGTTCAGGGTCTGCCTGTGATGCTTGCTGTTGCTTTGCCTCGTTGTTCTCCTCACAGCTCTTCTCTGAATTCTCACTGAAGAATGTCTTCTCACGGAAGAATGTGGTGGCACAGTGGCTCTGCTGCCTCACAGCACCAGAGATCCGGGTTTGATTCCAGCCTCAGGCGACTGTCTGTTTGGAGTTTGCACATTCTCCCTGGGTCTGCGTGGGTTTCCTCCGGGTGCTCTGGTTGCCTCCCAAAGTCCAAAGATGTGCAGGTTAGGTGGATTGGCTGTGCTAAATTGCCCGTAGTGTTCAGGGATGTGTAGATTAGGTGGCTTATAGGGGTATGGATCTGGGTGGGATGCTCCAAGGGTCGGTGTGGACTTGTTGGGTCAAAGGTGCCTGTTTCCACACTGTAGGGATTCTATGAATTTCTGTTCTCACACCTCTCCCATTCTTTATGTCAAGTTGTGGATAATGAACAAAACCATGATGCTGGAGACCCTCGCCGGCAAATAGTGAAAAGCGCTGTTTTGGCAATTAAATCTCATTCAGAGCAGATCTGTGAGGGTGGAATTTATAACAGAATGCATCATCTGTCTACCTCCCAACTAAAAAGTCCATCAGAGCAGAGCAACCAGAATCCCAGTTCCCTGCTGTAGTAACATGCCGGGGGCAGCCTTAATTAGATCAGAGTGGGATTAGCTAGCAGCTCTGTGGTTGCAGCAGTGTTAGAATCAAATAGTGGCCACTTCTGGGATTATAGCCATCTATATAAGAGGAAGAAGTGATGGTTTCAAGACTTTAGATAAGTCAGGGATTTTATATGGGCATGCCTAGCAGTCACCAGTGAGATTGGGGAGGGAGGTATGGGGTCAGGTTTTAGAGGGGTTGGAATAAAGAGGCAGAGCATGATTCTTGGGACTGAGACAGAATGCTCCCAATAAGGAGGCAGACCTCCTCCCCATTTCTGCCAACAGCAGCATGCACAATGAAAGCTGTTGGCTTCCCCACCTGGCCTCCAGGCAGTAAAGGCAGAACGAAGCTGTTATAGTCCTTAATGTCCAGGGTTAGATAGGTTATGGGTGCACTACATACCTTCTGTATTTTAGGAGACAAGTCTGGGGTAGGCAGAGAGGCAGTAGGCAGAACACCTGCTTTATTTTGTGAACATCTCCAGTTTCAACTATACTGGTGGAGGACCATAAGGTTCAGCCCATGGTCTGATTAATTGCCACCTGCATGGTCACGTGGATCTCATTATCTTTTTGCTTTGGCTCTGTTCTTATGTTCTTCACTGGGGTCATTAACCATCTCCCAGATGGACGCCTCTTGTCATCTAGAATCCACTCATCCAATTGCTGGGTTGAAAAACCTCCGCACCTGGGAGTATTTGAAAGATGTAGTAGTCATGATTCCACCCAGGGTACCACACACATGACTGTATAATAAATTGGTGGAGGACACTCTCTGCATCTTGAAAAAGTATATCCCCTTGTGATTTTCAAAGGATTAAGGCTGGCCCATATGTGCTCTACTAGCCGCACAGGTGCAGTCTACAACTCTCTGCATGTTAGGAATAGTTTCTAGGGCACAAAAGCCTCTTATTCTCATAGCATGGCCAGCCTTGTCTGGTGTGGTTTATGAATTTCCAAGCTCCCGACAATAAGACATCGTAATAACCTTTACGCTTCCGATATGCCACAGAGATGCCTGTCTGCTGCCTGAAATGATCCTGTGATGTAGAATGTCAAGGCTACTGTCACCTTAACTGTTGCCAAACTTGGGTGGCCTCCCAAGCATCTGGAGCTTATTTATCTTACCACCAAGTCACAGGTGAGTTAATGTACTGGTGCTTAAAAGGCTGTAGGTAGTCAAACCTCTGTAGACTTATCCAATAGGGTATGGATGATCTTTGGGATGATTGGCTCAACCGCATTCTGCAACTACTGCAACACTAACTTTCTTAATGGCCTGACTGACCCTGACCAACTGTTCACCTCTCCTTCCTTCACTCAAATTCTTCCTCACTGAAAAATTGCTATGGTTCAACTTTACATCCAAGACTCAGCCACGTGCAATGGTCACTCAATGAAACCCTAGAATTTATCACATAAATTTGTGATGTTAGTTCAATGGAGAGTCTCCAAAATAGCAATGGTCTACAATCCTGAACATCTACTGCAGTATTAACTGCTGCCTCCAACCTCCCTCTCATTATATGCACTCTGACCTTTCTAAAATACTCTAACACCCTTATTCACCCGACAAGATGTACATCCCACTCACCACCATTTTGCCTGGGGAGGTAACATAAATTGTAGAAAACAGTACAAATTTCAGGTGTATTCAATATTTATAACCTCAAAGGGCCAACTAAATATTTTCTTACAAAATGTGAGCAAGTTCCTGACTTTGGGGGGAAGACAGTAATTTCCTTCCTAATGCACACAAGAAAATACACAGCTTTAAGAGACTCACACAAATGATGTGGCATGAGAAGACACATGTACAAATGGGCTATGAGACATAACTACTAATAGAGCAGTATTTGAGAAACAATGGTTGAGAAGAACACTAACCTATGTCTTCCTCAAAAGCTATGTAGTAAACAAAATGTCCAGCTGGGTGCTCAGCAGCCCGTCGGTACCAGAGTGGAAAATGGTCCATTGTGAAAATACTATGTCTATCCTGAGTCGTGAAGAACTTCCTGTAAATTAACAAAAAGTGGTTAGATTATCTAGTCAACAGCCCAAATTTTAATTCAGACTATTTGTGCTGGATAAAAACCAAAAGAACTGTGGTTGTTGTAAATCAGGAACAAAAACAGAAGTTGCTGGAAAAGCTCAGCAGGTCTGGCAGCATCTGTGAAGAAAAAAAATCAGAGTTAACGTTTTGGGTTCAATGACCCTTCCTTAGAACTGACGGTGGCTGGGAAAACATCAGTTTATATGCAGAAAAAAAGGGGGAAGGGCATGGGGTAAGGAGTAAATGATAGGATAGAGCCTAAAGAGGGAGAAGAGCAGTTGGACAGACAAAGTGTTGATAATGATCAGGCTGGGAGGGTGAATAGTTGTTAATGGGGACTATTAGTGGCTAATAGCAGGTAGTGTGTAATGGCAGGCTACGTGGTAACAGGGCCTGGTGTGTGGGGTTGGGGACTGGGACATGGGAGAATTTAGGCCCTAAAATTATTGAACTCAATATTGAGTCCAGACGGCTGCAGGGTTAAAGTGCTACTTTAACACACCACCCTGTTCCCTGACCAACATGTCTGTCTCTGGCTTGCTGCAGCATTCCAGCGAAGCTCAACGCAAGCTAGAAGAACAACACCTCATTTTCCGCTTGGGGACCTTCAGCCCTCCGGACTCAATATTGAGTTCAATAATTTTAGGGCCTAAACTCTCCCATGTCCCACGCCCAACCTCACACACCAGGCCCTGTTACCACATAGTCTGCCATTACACTCTACCTGTTATTAGTCACTAATAGTCCCCATTAACAACTATTCACCCTCCCAGCCTGATCATTATCAACTCTTTGTCTGTCCAACTGTCTTTCTTTCTCTTTGGGCTCTGTCCTATCATTTACTCCTTACCCCATCCCCCTCCCCCTTTTTTCTGCATATAAACTGACATTTTCCCAGCCACCAGCAGTTCTGAGGAAGGGTCACCGGACCCGAAACATTAACTATGTTTTTCCCTCACAGATGCTGCCAGGCCTGCTGAGCTTTTCCAGCAATTTCTGTTTTGTGTTCTTCTCTCTCTTTAGGCTCTATCCTATTGTTTACTCCCTACCCCAGCCCTCTTTCTCTTTTCTGCATATAAACTGACATTTTCCCAGCTGCCACCAGTTCTGAGGAAGGGTCACCAGACCCGAAACGTTAACTCAGATTTTTTTTCTTCACAGATGCTGCCAGACCTGCTGAGCTTTTCCAGCAACTTCTGTTTTTGTTGTTGTATTTGTGCAGGTCCTCTAGCACATCAAAATGTTTTTTAATGTATTGCCATTCAAATCTGGTAGAAATATCTGGTTGGCTAATGGCCAACAGTGAGATTTTGCACATCAAGAGGTTAGAGGGAACAATCTCTGGCATATGTAATACAATCAGATAAGAAAGCATGAACTGACTCCCTCTAGGAAAGTCGCAACAAAGGTTTAAGATCTTTTTAGCATGAAGCTCTATATCTCTCCAGTTAAAACAGTTAACTCATTTTTATTGTAGTAGTGAGGAGCCAATGACAAAGCTTCCTTGAGTTCAAAAACAGCAAGCTTATTAACTGCTAACTCCAAGGAAAATAACAAAGCTACAATATCAAGCACACAGCCACTTTGCAGTCACATCACAACCCTTGCACACACATACATGTAAAAGTGTGCAGTATAAATGGAAAGTAAAATATATTGTTTAGACTCCTTTAGGTGACCTTGTGGTGTAAGACAATAGGTTAGTTGAATTTTTTGGACAAGCAGCAGTAGCAAATGTTGCTATATTTTACGTTTTCTGTCTCCTATTGTTTCTTTCTAGTTAGCATTGCCACCAGATACTCTTCTTCTTGAGATACTGAGAAAGAGAAAGAGAGCACCTTCTCCAGCCCGTGTTCAGTTCTGCAGTCTAAAATCATCTCATCATCTCTGTTAAAAACTACCCATTGAAATAGCACCTTTCTAGTATATTCCATCTGCTGAGTTCATTCTGCAGTGTTTCACAGAATCACAGAATTGTTAGAAGGAGGCCATCTGGCTGTCATGCCTGCATTGGCTCTATTACCTATTGTGAATCTCCTGACTTTTTCCCATATCTCTGCACACCATTTCTATTCAAATAATCATCCAATGACCTCTTGAGTGCCTCAATTGAATCGGCATCCATCACATTTTCTAACAATACTTTCCATTTCTCATCTCCAGCATGTGGATGTTCTTTTGACAGTAAAATCAAATAAGAGAGGAGGATCTTTTCACATATCCTATTGTGAGTGGTTAGCTGGTTCGATTGCCCTTGGATAAATGATCATTTCAGCTCAGACTTCTTTTCTAAAATTGTCTAACTCATGCCAATTTCCTGAAGCTTAGTCAACCTGTGACACCTATGTCATTTTAGGCCTGCATTTTTAGTCCTGTTTTAAAACGTCTCAGCCCATGAAAATCCCAGGCATTAAATCAGCAGTTAAAATTTAAAAATCAATTGTCCACATTTTTTATCACCATGACACAACTTAAGGAATGAGAGAGGATATAGGGTTCATCATGGCCAGAGGAGGAGAGTGTAAGACAAGAGCAATGGAAATTCCTCTCCTGCTGCTATACCATCTGGTCCACAGGTAACCAAAAAAAGTAAAAAAAGAACTAAATGAATGGAAAAATCCTCCAGTGAATTATTGGCAAGACTGAAGCTATTGTTTCTGGTCCTTGTCCCTAAATTCTGTTCCCTGGCAAATGACTACATCCCTCTCCCTGGCAATAGTCCACATTAAACTAGTCTGAAGTCACACAACACCAGGTTATAGTCCAACAGGTTTATTTGAAATCACAAGTTTTCGGAGCACTGCTCCTTTGTCAGTTGAAGTATTAAACCAGAGATAGTAGGAACTGCAGATGCTGCTTGGCCTGCTGTGTTCATCCAGCTCTACACCTTGTTATCTTGAAGTATTAAACCAGTCTGTTCATAGACTTTGTGCTAAATTTGATCCCACATTGAGCTTCCAACCTCAGATCAGTGCCATCTTTTTCCAACTCTGCAGCATTACTCAAAATTGCCCTTGTGCTTACTCATTTGCTGCAGAAAATCTCATTCAAGCTTCCTACAATCAATAAACTTGAGGTCATCCTAAACTTTGTTATCCATTTCTTATCTCCCAGCCAACCCAATCCTCTATCGCTCCTGTGTTCATTATCTTACATTGGCTCCCAGTCAAATGACATCTTGAGTTTAAAATTATTATCATTGTTTTCAAATCTCTCATAACTCCTGTAATCTTCTCCAGCCCCACAAACCTTCCAAACCATGTTCCTCTAATTCTGACCTCTTGTGCATTCTAAATTACAATTGCTTATAAAAGTCTGATATTGCAACATGGTTCAGTAGTTAAATTGGTCACACTTGTGAATGCGGCAGGAAGCCTTTGACTGCAGTTTTAACCACATGACTGACCCTTGCCCACTGGGAAAGAGTAGGTTTTGTTTGGAGGGAGTGGCAAGGCTAATATCCACGCAAAAAATACTCAATTACTGAAGACAGTGTATTCATAATGGAACAGTCCATAAACAGTTCCTGCATAATGTAGTTCTCACAGGACTGCACTTTGTTAGATCACCCATAGGACTGATAGCACACTGATCCTGGAAATATCTCTGATCGCAGAGCTCATTTTTGTATCAAAACATCCTGATGGAGGGATGAAATGTGTCTGAACTCTTGGAGTAATGAGGTGAGGCATGTAGTCAAATTTCAAGTAAAACAAGGGGAAGACATCTGCGTACAAACTGTCTACTTGTAAAGTCAGACAAATTTTGGAATGTGAATGGAATTGTCCAAGCAGAGTGATTGGGAGATATGTCCAGTTTCCTATGCAATAAAGTGGTATACCAGTTAAAGTGAAAAGAACATATAGTCAGTTTTCCTGGTAATCAAAACAGTCATTATTGCGAAAACACTCAATATGAAATTTATAATAATATATTAAGAGGTGAGGAGGATCTATTTATGGAAATAGTTGTATTCATCTTAAACTGAATGGTCACCATAACCAGAGGTATAACTGAAATGGAATTATCACTCCAATATAATGCAAGGAGAATGTTCTGTTAATAGAATTTCCCGTAATAATGTTATGTATGTATGTGTTTATGCTTGGTGGGAGGAGACGAGAGACAAGCAGAGAGGATTAAGAAAATATGTGCAAGTGAAATAGTGTGACTAAGAACCCTCTGTCTTTGATGGTGTGTGCAATCTTAATATCCAATGATTCGTTGTGGTTTCTACACAGCACCTTGACTGTTTATATTTCTAGGTTTCTGAAACAGGTTCCTTCCAATACCATTGTCACAAGATATGCATATAGAGGCATTTTTTATACATCTCTGTTAAGGTTGAAACATAAAGCTTTTTCAGGAAAATTTTAATATTCATCCAAATCATTAGTATTGTTGGGAATCTTTTGAGATTTTATCATTTATCCTGCAGAGGGAGCCATTGCTATAATGAAATACTAGAAAAGAAGTTGAATTTCAGAATATATCATATTGTTACATAAACCAGTCATGAATACATACCTATACAGAGTTAGGATTTAGACTAATCTCATATGATTAAGGTTTTTGCTTTCCTTTTACTTATAAATGGCTGTAGATTGATATGACAGCGAGAAATAATGAAATGGTTAGAGCTGTTCATTCCCAGGATGATTTAGGGTTTAATAATGTCAGGGTATAATTTAACTGACTGCACTGTTTACAGTAGTTTTTTTTGAGGTGCAGAATTAATTCATGCCTGTTGATTATTTTCGTTGCCACATTGTGAATTGAGAGAGGCAAGACAGATTCAAGATAAGGAATCAAGACAATGAGTTCAGCTTGATTAGTTACACACCTAGATAATAATTAGATTTACTATCCCAACTTTGTAGAAACTGTCTCATTACTGGAGTCTTTGTTCACAATAACATTTGTCATGCCATAATTAATTAGTAAGGATAGAGCACATGAAGA